TACATGGAGGGTGGGAGGGTCGGCAGAAAATAAAAGAAAGAAAAAGAGGAAGAGTGAGAGAGAGTGAAAAAGTGAAAGAGCCCAAGAGCGCATAGACGATAATTGCTTTGATTCATGCAACTATGCGGTCGTTTCCGATGCGTTCGTTCGTTCGTTCGTTCGTTGGTTTGTTCGTTCGTTCGTTCGTTCGTTCGTTCGTTCGTTCGTTCGTTCGTTGGTTTGTTCGTTCGTTCGTTCGTTCGTTCGTTCGTTCGTTCGTTCGTTCGTTGGTTTGTTCGTTCCTGTTTAACGTGTATACGACTCGTTCGTATGGCTCGCAAATAACTGCTAACGTCCTGCAATTCGTTCGTGTACCGACGCGGACGTAATATTAACTGCATTTTCTTCCGCTTTACAATAAGCACACTATGCCGCTCAACACAACCTCTTTCGCAATAGTGTTTGTCTCTTCCTCTCTTGTTCTCTTTTCACATGTATTTCTTCTATTGTATGTATGTAATCTGATTTTTAAATGACTAGTTAGTATTTTTCGGATCAGGATTTTTCAATATTTTTCGTTTGTATTTTAGAAATGAATCGTCGATAATAATACAAATTATTGCAAATATAAGTGGTCAGTATTATACTAATAAAAACAAGAAGAGATTTACCATAAATATTTGTTTGTAGATAAATAATAAATCAATTAGTAATTTATAGATTTTCTATCATTCCTTCTTATGAATTATCAATTTCAAATATCCATTATTTTTGTATTCAGTAGACGAGAATTCTGAGCAAGCGTTCGTGTAATACTATAGAAAATTGTCATCCAGATTGATTTACGATCGATACCATTCGTCCTACGATGCTTAATCATCATCCTTCAACGAAATTCGTTCGCGAGTTGAATTATCGTTCTATCAGATTACTCGAATGTTCAACGATACCTTCGATGAATGGTCGTCGTTCAGGTTTTAGTAAATGTACATCTTCTTTTAAGTAGCAAAACGGGGAGGGAAGAAAGATTCAATGAGATACATTGAATTTTCGAAACTTATTAGCAATGATTCAATATTGCATAAAATTTTTTAATCATATAACTAATTGCGAGATATTTTTCGATCTACAATATTCGGCATAATATACCTATATCGAAAATAAAATAAATAAATATAGACGAAAATACCGGAAGGAATGTAATCTCCTAGTAAAAGCCGGAATCTTATTGGAAATTGAGTCGATAATCGATGCTCCATTAAAGGCGGCAAATCGTACGCTAGGAATATGTGTTCCCTCGCTCGTTCCTACATCCGGTGCATAAATTAATAGATCGATATGTTTCCTCATCTACTATATATTCAATTATTCTAATTGAATTGATTTGAATGACACGCGGAAAACGATATTTAGTATATTTGCTAAGACTTACACAAAATGTGATCTACCAACAAATAAAAAGCAGAAAGCAGGATAGATATAAATCATGTATCTTTTAGCAAAATGAAACTTGATGGTTAATAATTTAGTCGCATAGCATGCAGAACATAATAATGTCAGTTCGCTAGCGAGGAATTAATTTTACGAGTAGTATCGCATGCAGGTAGAGATGCACAGCCACACCTGTAAGCGACAGCCATTGTATTTTCAATTCGCTAGACTAACGAATCTGACCGTCCCAGCCTTGTGCGTCCTGCGGAACACCCGCGTGAAATTCTATCCGACAAAATGGGATTTTATACTGATAATTTATTCGACGATCGTGTTCCCTATCAAAGCACAATCGTCCCATCTCTCTCCCTCTCTCTCTCTCTCTTTGATTCTAGTATCCTTTATATTCGGCGTATAACGCGTTTATCGATTTTCTTCCAGTTTCTCATCCGATTGAATAGAATTTTGGTAGGTTCGTCACTTTAAACGTAAGTCACTCTAAACGATATTCGAAGGAACGTAGTTATGCGTTCCGAGCTGTACCCATCGGTTGGTATGTACGCAAAAGATAGCGTGCATAGCGGGAAGGTAAGAGAGAGAGAGAGAGGGAGGATAGGGACTCTTGGAATGGAATGCGATATTCATCGATCGACCGCCATGTGTGAAATAACTCAAATGACACACGCGACTAGCTGCGCATATACGAGATCGGGTATACGACGTTGACGTTCTCGTTTGCTGTCATTCGTCAGAAAAATCTTTCTTTCTTTAACTCTGAATATTCCCTACAAAAATGATAGGAAAATGCGAAAAAGAAGTATAAGAAAATAAAAATCCTTATGGAAAAGGACAGATATAGTAGGAACGTTTCCACGCAGTTGCAACTCGAGCGTAGATTTGTATTCGTAGACACCGATCATGTCATTGACGAATACGTCGTTTTCATGAATACCATATGAGGCCTGGCATCGTATATATGTCTCAGAAATAGCGGGATATTCTATCCAGTGACACGATCGAGAAGTCTAACATCGTTTTCTCTTTTCTGTCTAAGTTAGCCTTTAAAATGGATATATAAGAAACGTCACTTTTTGACTTTCCAATCGTCCTATTCTAGAATATGATGATACACTTTTATAAGATAGTCCATGCATATTTATGTTACACTTGCAACAATACTATTTCTTTTCCTAATGAAATTATCATAGTTAACAAATATTAACAATTAATTTTTATACATCAAATTAAGTGTGATTTATCCACAAATTTAGAATATAGTAAAAAAGTATCCTAAAATACAAAAATAATTAACAACTAATTATTAAGATTTTGGTTTAGAAAATAAAAGAAAGAAAGAAAGAGAAAAAGACAAGTACAGAAAAACATTGAAATAGCCAATTATTTTGTACACAAGTGGATTGAAATAAAAGTGCAACAAGTAACCATCTGCCGATGCTGTTTTCAAAACAATATAGCACATCTTTTTGACTAACTAGCAATGCTAACAATCAAACACCTGTTTGAAAAAAGAAAAGAACGTCTATTTACCAGCGATCATCTGTCAGAAGAGCACCTGAACAAGCCGAACCAACCCAAGCCAACTATCTTGCTAAAAAAATATCGAAAAATTGAACGAATTAAGTAAGCATACATAGCTTTCCCTGAAAAATAACTCAACTCACATATGACACGTAATCATGGATCTACGATTACGATAAAGATCCACGTTAAACCGCTGAATCTTATGGAACCGTATTAGAGAGATGACCGAAACAAAACGTTAAAAGGATCTTAACAGGACTAAGTGGGAAAGCTAAAAGCGTTCCCAATTCACGTTGAGTTTGGGTGTGAATTTTTCAGATCTCGTAAGATCTGGTGACACGACGTACAACGTTCATTCTTAATGACGAGAGACATTGAGATAGAGATAGATAAATGAAGAGAGAGAGAGAGAGAGAGAGAGAGAGAGAAATTGGAAAGATTCAGGGAAGCAGTTGCTGAAACAGAGCCAGATTGGATGGGGGAAAACAGGATCCTAGGCGACTGGTTTTCGGTCGTCTGCCAGAGCTTTTCGAATTCGTTTGTCTTTCTCTCTCTATCTACATCGCACCTTTCCCTTTTCTCCACTCTCTCCCACTCGCTCTCTCCCTCTCTCTCTCTCTCTCTTTCTATCCACCTATCTATCTATCTATCTATCTGCCTCTTTCTCTGTATTTTGCATACTCCAAAGCATGTACAACCCCCCGTTTCATCCCTTTCGTCGCTTCTGTCCGCCTCCTCGCGAAACAATAAATTTTCTGGCTTTAAATCCATGCTGTAGCACGACCACGACTACGACCACAACTACGACCACGACTACGACCACGACTACGACCACGACTACGACCACGACCGCCAAGAGCTTTCACAGTACATCGAGTACATATACCTAGTAAGGCTCGCGGCATACCTACGTTCGTACTAGACTTTCTACGTTCCTATTTACTAAGCTCTGACGACATATTTATGAAAGCTGATTACTCAATTTTTCAGATTTACGTTAACGTCATTTAGAATTGGTGGTCTATTTTATGAACATATAGAATTGCATTAAAATTATAGGTGTTCAGTTTGGTGATGTACGTTGTCAGTAGGAACAACGCATTCCTGAAATCCTCGTAGTTGCTTTGATCGGTACAATCGGTATTCTACCCTTTCCCTGAATTTATAGTCAAGATAGCACGTCTTCTACGGGCGACAATAGCCGAAGTATGTCTTTACTGTTATTGGTGAACCATTTAGGGGCGGATCTTACGTGAACGTACGTGTACATGGTCCCGTGTCGTTGACACTGAACACGTTCTCGAATTAACTTGGTTAAAGCTCGACCAGATCGATCGAGGCTACCTTCTAGGTCCTACATGTGGTTCCTTCGATCGAAGGAATATAAACCGTTTCTGGAAGAAAAATAATTTTAATTAATTTTACAGGTGATCATCGTTGGATTTAACAAGAAACATTTGAGATTTTTTTCTATTTGAATTCCTTAAATGACTACCTTATATGTATAAATGAGACAAATATAATTTCAAATATTTGTGAAAATGTATCAAAGATTTTCAATATGTTTGTTTATAAAATGTTTAGTCGGTGATATTGATAATAATATTAGAGACTTTATTCTTTCAGAGCGAGTATCCGACACGAGTGTCTAGACACCTACCAAGTGACTTACGATCACAATGAAAAATACTCTTTCACATGAAAGATGACCTACGATAGATAAGTATATGCACTATTATCTTATATATCAATAGATTCCTTATCGATAGAGATTGCTTGTTTATAATATTGTAGGAAAATTGTTCGCATACGATATAGTAGAATACTGTATTAATATGATAGGCTATGGTATAGTAGGAAACTTGTAGAAAATTGTCTTATCAGCAGTAAATTAATCGTAGAATGAACAAATAACTTTATCAAATTTTAAATTAAATTCGAAATTATGAACTCTCTAACTAACAAACTCTAGTCAGTTTTGTAATAATACAAATCTAATGAAGCTTTTAGTATATGATAAAAAATAGATGAATTAAATGAGCAAATAATAATTTTCAACGTGTTATTTATTTCACACACACAAGCGAATTTGAGAAAAGTAATTATCGTAATATCGTAATGATTCATTCCATAATACATTCGTATGCGATAATATTGTCAACTTAACGACGTCCTAACGTAGTCGCTTGTAGTTAAGTGACGCAAGTATATTGTATACGTATAAACTGAATATGAATATTCGCATCACGCAGAAGAATAATGTTTAATAATATTTACAGAGCGAAAATGTAAAATTAATATTAAAGATCTTAAAGACGATATAAATCTAGGAATTAATTAATGGAACGTTTCTTCTCGTAAAAAATAGATTTCCAGAGCACCATGTTGTCGGATTATTTGTTATGTACAATTCTTATAACTGCGCCGCACCATAGGGCGCTCATATGAATAAAGAAGAATAAGATTTTCTTATCTTACTGCAACTTACGTCGTCTTAGTCGTCGTCGTCGTAGTCGTCGTCGTAGTCGTCATCGTCGTCGTCGTAGTCGTCGTCGTCGTCATCATCATCTATATTTTTCATCTTTTACTACTATAAATCGACGATTCGACCTATTAATTATCATTATTTTCATTCATTTTATTTTATTTTACTTTTTATTATCTTCTGGTTAATGGCGAGATACTGCAGAATATTCTAATTAACATGAAATTGACATTAAAAAGAAATTTATCATCGAGAAACAAACAAGGAACAGAAACTGACTATTATGTCGGAAAATTGTATGTCCTTTGCTCGGTCTTTGACAATAACAAAATAATCGCATTTCCGTATCGCTTGGTAAAGATTTCAATAAATGTAGCAGATATAAAGAACAAAGATAGGATTCCATCACGAGATCTTTGAGTCTACGGTAAATGTTTCATTACCGAGCTCAAAAAACCGGAGGTATTCCTTGCTTGGATAATTTGATTTTTCCCAACAGAGCTTTCCTCCCCGTTTTCGGATAAACTTGAAGGATGACCAAACGATTTCGATAACGGAGAAGATTAATGGACCGTCATTTGAGATCTAATCAAACGGAAATGTCTAACAACGAATTAGGCATACAATTTTTCTCGATAACCGTTTCACCATGGAGGCTCGAAATCTATTCGCGTATTTGCATTAACGCATTATTATTACCATATGTATTTTTTCTTTTTTCTTTTCGAGAGTCCTTGGTCCTCGGTACTATAGAATAAGTAAAATCACAAGCGTCATAGGGATCCGCGTGGAACCCCGTGGTTAAAATGAAATGTAAAAAATAGTAGTACTTTTTATATAGGCATCTATCTGTATGTGTGTGTGTGTGTGTGTGTGTGTATGTGTGTATTCATAAACACGTGTAAGTGTATCATGTGTATGCACTTATTTACTAAACATTTATATAATATATATGTACATTTACAACATCGCATAATCGCTGAAAGATGCAACATTGATACATTGAAAACGATTTTTTTTAGCGACGTTACGCTCCTTACTCTTATATCACATATCGTATATAAGAAGGCAGCACGGGTATAGCATATTCATTTATTTATTTGTTTTTATTTTCATCGATTTTTTTGTTTCATTCAAAATATCTCGCTTCTTCGTTAAAAACCTACGCGAAAATGTAAATGCTCACACCAACCAACCAACCAGGCAGTCGCCACCAACAACAAGTCTACATTTTGATTCTTTTTTTTCGGCTTTTATTTCCGAGGAGTTTTCCAATTCTATTTTACACAAAAATCATAGATCGCGATGTGGCGTGGCATTTTATTCCATCTTCCAGAAGGCACATCTTTTGCTCCTATAATAATCCAATACTTATTTCAATTTATACGTACAAGAATTTTCATTTCTTTTTTTAATAATTTATAAATACAATACAAATACTTTTGTTTTCTTACAGTTGATTATTCACAAACTTGTGAATAAAATAAGGTATTCGTGCAAATGAAGCATTGTCCTCAATCTTTTCATACAATTTTGTTCTATTTTATTTTTCTTTAGAAATAACAACGTAATGCACTTCGTCAATGATCGAAATCATTTGGAAGCTTGCAGTAATTATTTACAAATGTTATTAAAAAATGTTTATCATTTTTACTTCACTTGCTTCTTATCTTTTTCTTTTCTCGTATCACTTTCGTGCGATTACTCTCTGTCGCTTTCTCCTCGAGACGAGATCGAAAGAAGAAGCTTCCCGTATAGTAGTTGTTGTTTTTTGCTTTTCTTGTTTTTTATCTCCTCATGTTACCCTCTAATAAACTTATAGTTTAATAAAGTTAAAGAAAAAGATTATTTCTAGTGCGGATTATCGGGGTCACACGGGGAGAAGTTCGACGTGTAATCTTAAAAAGGACTAGGCGGCACTTGAGCATAGGTACTTGGCTCTCGAGGATCATTCTTTTTGTCTAAATCTAAATTTGCATCTAGTGTTTCAAATGGTACGAACTTTCATCGTTATCTAAGATTATTTTTAATTACAAATTTCGAAACAAATGTCGAATAATTTTCCAAGTACGATCGATACAATAAACATAATAAATATTTTGTTATAAATAAGATGAATGTTGGCTGGCTTATTCACATTTTGTTGCTTTTTAAATTCAAATTCAGACATTGATTATTTAGCATCGTAAAGACGATGAATGAGAAGCAGTCTCTTTTATTTAACATTATCAAGAAATATCCGAGCATTATCGTATGAGGATTTTGTTAAAAATACGACCGTTACTTAACACATATTATTTCAAATCCCCAACATGTTCTCTATGAAAGCTCATCGTCATTGTTTAATCAATAGCTTCCTTCAATGCAGCCAATTGTTCTTCACCGAGCTTTACTTTGTCTTGAATCTCTCGAGTATCCATTATCAGCTTCGCTTTCATATTGATGAAATGTTGATAATCGATGAATTCTTCGTCGTTTAGATATTTCGCTAGAATTGCCGAAACGTTGATGCTACGCCTATCAATGTTGCTTTTCAGTACCTTTGCTTCTTCCAATTGGTCTATCAGCTTGTCTCGTTTGCCTTCCAGTATTTTCTATAATCGAAAAATAATATTTGAATATTAAGTAATATATGAAATAGTTATATATGAAAAGTAAAAATATGGTATTTTGTAGAATGTAACTAAACATAAAAATAGAGTAAGTAAACTTTGCTAACAGTATATCAAATGAAAGAAAATGAAGAAAGACAAATGTAGTCCCATTTGATAGATAGGGGAAATACTCACTCTCTCCGCGTGATCGGCCGGCATACCATAAAGGGCGTTTTCAGCACGAGCCAATCTTCCACTAAGACTAAGAAGAAGGCTAGTAATCTTGCCAACTTCCTCTACGTGAAGTCGATATTTGGAAGCTTCAGCTGGTCGAGCTTCTGCGGAAATACGCATAGCCACTCTTGCACCAAGAGCATCGTTAATTTCGCCTTCTTCTTTAACAGCTTCTTGTTCAGCCCTTAAGACCACTAGTTTCTTATCCAATCGCATCATGAGTTCTTCCTGAAAAGCGAACGAATCATCCCACCCCCACCCAATGATTTCTTCGTTAGTTCAGTGAAACGAGGAGAATTTTGAGAAAGCGGCCCGAGTCTCCTCCGCTTTTGCGGAAGAAGAATCGATCTTGGATCGAGATAAATCTAATGAGCTGAACGTGGGCGACCCATAAACTTTCCCCTATTGTCGTTGCTACCGTCTCTGTACTTATATTCGTAACGTTTAAAACGAGAAATTGTCGAGTCTCTTCTACATACATATATCCTTATATATACACTTTACAACAAAATTATATATATATAATTGCTTATTTTGACTTATAAAATCAAAGTTTGAAAGCTTGCAATGTATATTTAAACATTAGACTTGAAAAATGAAGTTTACAAAAAAAAATGTCTTATGTTTTTAATAATCTTTTAAATGATTCCAAACTTCCTATTGAAGAATTAAAGCATTTCAATACTTTTGTTTGATACTGTATATGTAGGATAGAAATACGGATGAAAGTTATAGTGATTCACTTCTGTCTCGTTAAGCAAAGTTTCACGGACAGTTAGAAGAGGAATGAACGTTTTATTTTTCAAATAAAAATCTTTTAATTACCTTCTTCTTTTTGAGATCCGAATTATCTGCTGTAACGACTGCCGTTGTCGTCGTTGTCGTCGTCGTCGTCGTCGTCGTCGTTGTCGTTGTCGTCGTAGTTGTCGTATCTTCCAATCTTGTTGAATCCTCGACACTTATTTCTCGAGAATATCTCGTAAGAAACCTCGCTTTACCTTCGGACGTGGTGAAATATGCCGAAGTGGATGAAAGTGGACTGCTTGGATCAGATGAAGATGGGGTGACAGGAACAGAAGGTATACTTTCGTGTCTGAAATATATAAAAATCATAAATTCAGTTTTATCAATTGTGTCAGGGTTGCGTCTTCAAAATCAATATTTATTTTTCATTATCAGAATTGTCGATTATTTGGAGACTAGTTTTGAAAGTATAAAAATCCTATGGTGAGTAATCGATATGAAGAATAACCAATCGCGATTATGTACACGAAGAAGACGTATGAATCAGCGATCGACGAAGTTAATCTTTACTGTTAGATAAAGAAGAGAAAAAAGATTTACGAGCTTTGATGAAATCATCGAGAGACGTACAAGGAGCGCGAGTATCCTTTGAAGTCAAATGTATATACGTATATTTTTCTTTATACTAACAATAATCTATGAATTCATGCGGAAGCAAAATAATGACGTTATTTTTTTTAGCTTATTTCAAGAAAAAATATGAACCAAAAAAAAATTGAAGTAAAATCCAAGTTCTATTCTAAACGCATCTGTTATCGATTACACGCGCATGTTGTTTGCTTTTCATTCGCATAAATCTATAAAAGAGGAGAAAGTGTTAGAAGAAAAAAACGCGTTTGTATCTTGTTAACGGTAAGAACGAGTGCTTTTTTCATCGATGACAAATTGCAGTAGATGCCACATCGATAGAGTAGTGCTAGATTACGTCTCCTTCCTACGTTTCGTGATAGGTATAAACTAATGACAAGCGGAAGAGAATTCCTACGTATCAGAGTTAGTACAAACACTGAAATATTTTATTATCGCTTATAAATCTTTATTAATTGCACTAATTTAGCGTTTTAACATTCAGAAATATTGCTACTTATTATATAGTTAAATCTCATAATCTTATCAAATTGTTATTCTTAATAAAATAATTCTGATAATAAGGAAAAAAAGAAAAACTAAAAAAAAAAGGTTTACACAATTTGATACGTAATAAATTTAATAAGTATTGTACAGTGCAAACATGTGCAAAACAAAAGTATAGTAATTAATCGTGAATAACATGTTAAAGTTAATTTTCAAGTTATTATAGAAGTATAGAGAAGTGGTACTTCTCCGATCGTTTCCTCTCCATTTTTCCGTACGGTTATCGAACTTGGCACGGATACGATAAGCACTACGATGGGCCGCAACGATGCTACCAACTATTCATTCAAGACTGGCAAATAATATGATATCTAGACAACAACCACCGAGTAGTCGTTGCCTGACAATATCATTTATGGTCGCTTACGCAACTATCTTGTGCTCGTAGTACTTTCTCCTTAAGCATGCTAGTGGAAGTAGTATTGTCCTCGAACTATCGAGAGAGACAGAGAAATAAGGACAGAAAAGAGATAGAAAATATCAAATCTTTTGATGCATTTCGTGCTCAATTGGGTATGAGTAAATATACGTGTCAATATCGTCAAATGATATTTCGTTAGTTAATCAAGTTGTGTTATAACATTACCTTGGTGCTACAATAATTATAGTTTTAAGTATTTTCAATTTAGTGCAGTTCCCCCCATTTGAGAGTCGGAAGTTATCATAACCAATATTTAAATTGCAATGAAAAGTGTTGACTTAACTATCCAATCAAAAGAACGAAAATTCAAGTTTATGGGGAGAAGGTTGGAAAGAAAATAGAAAGGATAGAATTCTCATGGAAATGAAGAGAAATCGTATCTAAAATCGTATCTGAAATCGCATCTGAAATCGCATCTGAAATCGACGTTAGCGATCGATCATGGAGTGTACCGTAAAAAGACAATTAAATTCCGAGCATTAATATATCTCCATTAATGATACATGGGTGGAATCCTGGTGTGTATACGCCTACGTAAACGTCACTCGTCGGTATAATAAAGAATAATTATGTGAACGCTCGCTTGGCACACGCAGGAGGAGACAGCAGGAGGAGACAGCACGCGATATTCAGACGAGCACGTGCCGAGATCATCTTCCTTTTACTTCATTTTATTTTTATTTCATAGCTTTAGCTTTCTCACAGCGGGATATCGTGAACGGAGAAAATTTCCATCCTTGGCAACGATCCAAAACACAACGAAGAAGAACAAATCGTCCACAGAATTTATATCCTGATCACCGAATAGTTCAAATAAGTTGAAAATTTGTCAAAATAATCATGAAATGAACTTAAATAACTTACTTTTTCTCATCGTCATCTTGATTGACGACAAAGGAGGCCATCGACTCCTCGAGAGAGAGTCTCTGCCTTGGTCTTGATTGGAAGGTCGCTTCCACCCTAAAGAGACCGGAAACGTAGTCGGTGGGTTTCTTGTGCTCCGGTACTGGAACTGATAAGGATAGAAAAAAAATGTTGAGTCGAGCGCAAAGGCAGTTCGTCAAAGAGGGAAAGAAATAAGAAGGTCTTTGTTCGCGCGCTTGCTCCCTTTGTTCGTTCGGTGTTTCACGCTTCAGGAGTTTCCGCGCGTACCACCGTATAGAAGCCGTAATATCTCAGGGACTGTTGCATCTATTACTATCACGAATTAGAAAGAGTTAGAGAAAGAGCAATGGCGTGTAATTGAATAACGCGACCGGGGTCGTTGATTCGTTTAACGCTTATTAAAATATAGGGTCGTCGCTCTGGTGCTATATACTAATACTACACGTCATTCCCTCTTTTAATTCTATTTCTTTTCGCGTAGTACACGTGTATGAGGATTGATCAATTAGGTCAACTTATATAGAAAATTCTGTACAATATAATACAAGAAGTTAACTATAAATCTTGGCGATAAATGTTAAACTATACGCCTAAGTGGATTATATATCCAACGAGCTTAATTTCACAAGAATAATAATATCTGGGAATAATGTTTACCTAGAATAGGGACCAATTTGTCATTTGGACTGAGATGACTGGCAAGATCTCTGCTGAGTTCTTCGCACTCAATCTCCTCCGGTAATTTTTTTCTTGGTTCCGGTGTAAGAGGTTCCTCCTGTTTGACAACATTTTGTTCTGCGGTTTGTTCCATGAGATCGGTCTGTGATGCCGCGTCACTGGTAGCCGCATTAACTCTGAGTACAACTTCGGTACGTTGTACCAAAGTCAAGCCTTCAATGCCGGGTTGAGGTGAGACGCAAGGTGAAGTAGTCGTTGAAAATGATTTTTTATCCTGTTCATCAACAGGTGAATTCCTCGGCGAGGAAGATGCCGAAGATTTGGATACACTTGAGATCGAAGAAGAAGACGACGCCGACGCCGACGACGACGACGATGACGAGGAGGATGATGATGTCGTTGATGATGAAGATGACGAGGATGATGATGATGATGAAGAATTTGAAGAGAATCTACTTCCCGTCGATCTTGACTTCAAACTACTGGACGATCTCTCTGTTCTTTCTGTTTTAGAATTGTCCGATTCTTTCGTTTGGCACGAACGCTGATTCGATTGTTGACCAGCAGAGTTGGATCCATTCCAAGAAACTATACTGTCCGTTTGAGTTGGGCTCGAAACTTTCCTTTGATCATTGGTGATTTCATCTCTCGTTGGAGAATTTGGTGTACTCTTAGTTGGTGTTTGATAGGTCATGATTCGAGGAGACGACGATGTGGTATCGTTTGATCTACAGGAAGAGGAGGAGGAGCTCGAGCAGCTTCCGGATCTTCGTGGGACTGCTCCTCTGAAGCTTTCTCTTTCTGGTGATCTTGGTGGTGAACTGCTCGGTGGTGGCGGTTTGTCATGATGAGACATCGATTCTACTGCCTTCTGGGCTAAGACATTTTCCTGTCCTCTCGACCAGCAATTACCGGTCATGCTTGTAATCGTAGTTGTCGTCGAAGAGGTTGTTGTGCTTACCGTGTACGAACACACCGTACCGGTTGACGTACTTCCTCCACTTGATGATCGTTTCTCATTCCTACGGTTCAGTAGCTCAATATTTTGCGAGGTCATCTCGATCGTTGCACTTCTTTCGCGGAAGAGATCTTCACCGACACCTGCTTGACTACTACCATCATTGTCCGCATTACAGAGCTGTTTCTAAATAAACAAAATACATGCACATAATGCTTACCTTTTCAGAAAAATCAATTAAATTTAAAATTTAAAACTTACCTCTTTGTTTTCTGACAAAGGTTCGCAACTGGCAGCTAATTTTCGACGTTCTCGTTCCAATTGTCTATTTCTATCATTGAGAACCTCGACGCTTTGCGGAGACAATCGTTCTCTTCGTTGCTCATAATCGTACCTCTTTTCTTGATATCTTTTTTCTTGATAATGATGGTAATGACGATGATGATGATGATGTCGATCTTCTAGATTGTCATTATTGTTGTTCTCACTGTTACGCGTTCTAGCGTCAGCAATTTGCAGTTTCTTATTTAATTCATAAGATAATTTTCCAATCGATTCAACGGAGTGTTGGTGTTGAATTGTATTTTCCTCCAATCGATGATGAAGAGCATCAACGCTATGAGATTTGGTAAGTTCGTGCGATTGCTGTTGTTGTTGTTGTTGCTGCTGCTGCTGCTGCTGCTGCTGTTGTTGTTGATGACTATTATGATGATGGTGATGATGATGCTGTAATTGATTGTGTGGTGTGACGCGCAATAAAACAGGATCATCGTGGTCTCTCGGAGGTAGCCAATCTTCTAGACGAGAAGTAGGAGACATTGTTCTCTTGTAACTGCCTTCACTATCAGGCGCTCCACGTTCTCTTCTGTATGCCAAATATGAAGCCTTTGATTGGCTTCTGAAAAAAAAAAAAAACGAAAAAATTTGATTAGTTAAGATATTTCTCAAAGATTCAAATGCCTTTCAGTTTTATTTGACTTATCATAAAGTTTTGATCACTTATTTTAATGGATCTTTAAATATTAACTGTCCAATCACGTTTTTAGTAAGCGGCTGTCGCCTTTGATTCCATCTGTAATCCGAAATGCAGCGACGTGCTCAGAGAATAAGATTCTCGTTCTTAAAACACGATTCCCATGTTCGTTCACGTAATCCAGAAACACGCGTTTACTGTGCTCATTTAAATAAATACATTTTCGATTGCTTTTGACTATAAATTCAGATAAGAAAAAATTAGTATCACTGACATAATAATTATATATTTTTACAGATATCATTTTATTGAAATTCTCAAGGTATAAACAGAAAGAAAACAATGCAATCTCTGATGAAAATTTGAGAATAAAAGGAAACCATTGTATGATATAAAGTTTGTGCAACAATAGAAATGAATCTTCGATGATTAATCATTTGACCGTATTGATTAATGGTTGATCAAAACATCGAACCAGTAATATAAATCCGTGAGAGAGACTTCAGGGTCTTAGCATAGCGACAACCGTATTAAGATGAAAAGAAGGTTTAATCGGTACCGGATATGGGCTAGCGTTGCCGCTAGAATTTTAATTCGTCAGGTTCTTCTATTCGACGTTCCCACAGATGCTTTTCCGTCTTCCCAAATGGGACATGATACTTTCTGTAGTACACGCACAGACCATAATAACATTTATAGTGATAAAATACAAATAAAATACATAATGTGTTTCCATACGATCATCTTGTTAACACCAATATTTAGAAATATTCATAAATTGGTAGAATATAATTGGATTGCAATTATAAATGTAGGTAAATTATTTTGAAAGTTTTGACAAGAAGCATAGGAAGACGATTAAAAATGTAGACACTGTTTTACATATAGAAACCATTATTACTTGGAAAAGTATAATATTTTGATGAAGCGTTTAGCAATAAAAGTAAAGCGATAAATCGTAAAAGCAGCAGCAGCAGCAGCAGCAGCAGCAGCAGGACCGGATCGTTGCTACTGGAATTAAACGTTATATTTTTTGTACATTTGTATAAGGAATGCAGGACGATCATCCATCGTGCATATGAACGAGATCAAGAAGCCGTGTAAAATTTCTACGCTTGCAAGCAACGTCCGCTTCTTAAAAGCAAACCTTCTTTCAGTGTAATCGTCCAGGCGAAACGAATACTTGCTATGCACGTATCCTCTCCAAGATTTATTATTTCTCTTCGTTTGATAAGATGAGATAAGAAGGAGTAAAGAAAAAAAAACACACACACATTCAATTATTTTTTCGATCTAACTTGACGTTTTAATGATTTAGCATTTGCTATAAATTTCCTACTTAGATATAATAACTCATTCGATGGATACGTGAATTCACGCGAACTTTCCATTTAGGTGGTTTAGGTCGTTGGAGATTACTTCTCAATTTATTAAAACAACAGCAGATATTCTACTATTCCTCTCCGACTATATGTAGATATCCTATTCCAATACTTTTTTCTGTCCTATTCAACAAATATATACTAAAAGTAATGGATTCATCTTGAACTGATAATAAAGAATGATCGAACGTATAATCTGTCGTAATTATCATTCGTCACGGGCGTTAAGAGGACTTTCGTTCCTCTTAATAACTTCTCTTTTTATAAAAGCTGATTCCTTTAACGATCTCTTCTATTATTATTTTATCCTTTTATTCGTTTATTCGTTTATTCGTTTATTCGTTTATTCGTTTATTTTCAATCAGCTGTCCCGTTCCGTCCCCCGTAATCGAATCGTAAAAATACTCGTTACACTCGTTCCACTTTCCTACTCTTTCGATGTACGAAAGTATTCTTCCATATACGACGTGTACGAGACTTTAATGTTCTTACAATCCTTCTTCTCTCTTTCCCATTGATTCGTTGAATGTTCAAGAAAGTTTCTTAGGAAGGAAGGACGAAAGTAAAATTTGCGTCCGGATTCTAATCACGCGAAGAGGTCGAGACGTGAAATCGTGTCGGGCGGTGGTACTTTGCAACGTGTAACTACATACGTTTACATGCATGTATACATGTTTATGCATGTATACATACATGCGTACATACATGCGTACATATTCTTTTTCTTATCGGCAAACTGGAAGAACCGTTCTTACACGTGCTCCAAAGAAAATCTATTATTCAAGACACGTCGCAACACGCGTAGCCTTTGAGTGACTATGATATCGTTCTTCGATGATTCCGTCATTACCAATAAACTGGTATATTTGGTTCGAAATTTTACCTTTTTCTTTGTGTAATAAACTTTACCACAATTTAATATACTTAAAGATAAGAAATACTCATCGCTTGAAATTTATAATCTTTCGATAAAAGTGAATGAAGATCCAAGTCCATGTTCGTTTTAAAACAAATCCATTTTTCCTTTCTTACAAAAGCAAATAAGCTTTTGGTAATAATTAATAGTAAGATTTGGTATAATTAATTGAGCATAAAATTTCTTTCATTTCTAACGTTCGATTCGATCCAACGAGTGGAAGGAGAATTACATGGAACGGGAAGAAAGTGAACCTAATGTTCACGATAATAATCTCTCTAAAGAATACTTTATGTAATAAACTTCATTGTTATGCAATGGATGTATGCACGACACTGGTGGTATATAACTATCATTTAATAAGTACATAGAATTATGTAATAGAATGGTGGTTAAAGGTAAAAAAATATAAGAGACCATAAGAGACCACACAGGAGCGTTTCCTGTTATAATATATGCTCGATAAAATAATCTTCGCGGGACACGATCGACATTCTAGTATTTTCAAAAGTGTGTCATAAAAAAAAGAAAAAGAAAAATGAAGAGAAAAACATTAAAATTTCTCTCCTTCATTTGTTCTTTTTTTTTTTTTTTTCTTTTGAACTTCATTTACGATTAACACGAATATGATCGAATCTTTACGAGAGAGAGAGAGAGAAAACATTAAACATAAATTTAATTGAAATTTCTGTTCACATGAGAATTATCATTTCATTCGATCAAAAAATGATATAAAAAAAAGTGTTAAATATGCATAAACGGAAGAGTGGGCGAACGATTGGTATAATTTATCGGTAAATTGAACATTGCTCGATTCCTCCGACCGGTAGCAAAAGCATGTTTCAAATACATCATCATAATCGATGAGCATATCGCTGAATTCATATTATTATAGTGTGTTCTTTCGAATCTATCCTATACCAAAAACTTTTATATACCGCATAACTGTCAGGTGCTTATCGATCGATATTATTACAATCAGACCGTAGAAACCGATAACAGCTATACGTGTATGTACATCTGTGTTTGTGCGTTTCTCTCTCTCTCTCTCTTTCTTTTACTTTAGCAGGACACGTATTTTAATCTTTCATTCTGTATCAAAAACATTAGCACACGAGTGCTTACGAATCCGATAAGACTCACCTTTTTTTCATTAAATTCTTTCAATGTCAATATTACACTGGGTGTCTGAAAAAATTCTTTCCAAAGGTAAAGCAAAAATTATTGACCAGATTGCGTATCCATCAGTTAAATTACGTCAGAGTAATTGTCAAACTCGAAACTAAATCAAACTAATTTCGATGATATTTGTCTCTAATGAGTGGATATCATTTTATTAGGAAAAACATATTAATATCGCTTAATATTGCGATATCTTGATATTCTTAAATAGGTGCTTAGAACATTGGGGGCTTATCTGATAAATTCGATTGAAGAAATATCTTACATTCGAAAGTATACTATTGGGTACTTTGAAAGAGAAAGATATGGATCTATCTTGAAGAGTCTCGAAACGTTACGCCTACGGTTCGTGTAATAAGATAATTACAATAACGAAGTAATTACCAAATGAATTGGAGTTAAAACGATTTTAAAGAGAGATAGATCTGGAAGGGAGGAAAATGAAGCGGTTGCGAATAGATATGGCGAAGCCATAAAGATCAGCGAATACAGAGTAGTATCATCTACTCATATATAGGGTGTACTAAGTACTAAAGATAAATTAACTTTATACTACCTGTTAATAAGATCAAGTAGGCAAGATAGCTTACACGATTTAATGTTGAAAAATGTTTTATCGAATAGTTAAAACCATTCAATGTACCATAAACAATGTAATTCAAGTTAATTAAAATGGTGTTGTTCAAATGTTATCCGGTCACCCTGTATGTACGTCCATTAGACTTCGATTACGAGAATAGATAGATATCGTTCTCTTGGTTGATCCAACACAACACGTTGGTATCGAGTACTCTCATTAGGACAGACAGACGGGTGGGTCTCTAAGATGGGTGGACATTGGTAAACCGAGAAAGGCGATCGGTCATTACGACACCTTGGTAATTAACTCCGATCGAGTTCGACCACGTGTACAATCATCCTACGTCCTACGTCCAATCCTATCTTTTTATAAATATGATTTAAGAAGAAGTAGGAGGCCGAAGAGGATACAGAAGGAAATTTCGCGTCGCACAAAGATCCCGCTGTATTCAGTGATTGATGATCGGATAAGAGCCATAGTCGATAGAGTTTATTACGATCTATAGGTCGAATCAATGTTTCATTCTATTCCCCGGATATGAAATACATTAGATGAATATGAATTAGCATGGAAAAATACGCAAATGTTGCGCAAATGTTGCGCAAATGTTGCAAGTTATGTCTTTTAATATACGTCCAAGCTAAATTATTTTCATTTATTTATTGTCATTCGTTTCAATTTGCAAAGTAAGAATATTTACACAAAAAAGAAACTACGTAGTCCTAGTTCTCTCTAAGTGAAATCTATTCAATGAAAAGACACGAAAGGACAATTAAGAGGACAAAGTCGGATTTGAACTCATTAAAATAATTAGAGACTGAAAGTGAAAAGTACCGAATTCGGGACTCGATGTTTCTTTCATTCG